CAACAGGGGCTTCTCTCTTGGTTGGATGGCCACCCACTCATTACTGCTCTCGTCGAGAGATGGCGCACAGAGACTCATACATTTCATTTCCCGACCGGTGAGGCCACCGTCACATTGCAGGACGTATCTGTCCTATACGGTCTACGGATTGATGGGCGAGCAGTTACTGGACTTGACCCATCATTGACGACGGAGCAGTGGATAGCGCTATGTGCTGAGCTATTGGGAGTAGCACCTACACTTGCAGACTTACAGGCAGGTAGAGTGAGGGTGAGGTGGCTGTCGGAGCATTTTCAGGGCGATTTTCCAGATGATGCTGCAGATGAGTTAGTACAGCAGCATGCGCGAGCATATATTTTGTGGCTTATTGGGGGGGTACTTCTCCCTGATAAGTCACAGAACCTGCTCAAGTTGATGTATTTGCCACTGTTGAGAGACATTGACGTCATCGGCCAGTACAGCTGGGGCGCCGCGGCTTTGGCATGCTTGTATAGGATGTTATGTCGAGCCACTCAGGTGGGTGTGACTCAGATCGGAGGACCCCTTGTCTTGCTACAGGTTAGTAAGAATTTTATTACATGTCAATTCATATTGTATGGCATATAGCAGTATTGTAATTGCGTTCAAATTATTGCAGATTTGGGCGTGGGAGAGATTGATTCGCATTGCCCCGTCTAGGCGGCAACTAGTTGCTCCTGGTGAGGTTCCCATCGGGCAGGGAGACATGCAGATGCCGGTCGGACCTCGAGGTAGCCGGTGGAGGGTTGACATGAGCCACGAGGTCGTATCGACCCACGTAGTGGTCGTGTATAGAGACCAGCTTGACCGGATGATAGACGGCGAGGTATCAAATTTAAATACCTAAATTTTAATTGTCATATGGACTGTATATGTTTATGAGCGATTTTTAATAGACTTGTCGTTATTGTAGTTTATCTGGCAGCCTTATGCTGATGTCCTCCAGACGCTCCCAGACTACTGCCGCCTAGGTGAGGATATATGGATGGCGAGAGTAGCACTCATTTGTTTTGACGTGGTTGAGTGGCATCTCCCTGATCGTGTCCTCCGACAGTTTGGTCGGGTCCAGGCCGTGCCGGATCGGTGTGACACCGAGTGGCGGTTGCATGCGACGGATAGACGTGGCCGAGCCAGCACTGACTGGAGTCAGCATCATATGCGATACATACAGTTGTGGGATGCCCGTCGCGACACTATTGTACAGGCTGACTGGAGCGATGGGGTCCTCCCCTCTCCCGACCCTTACATGTTGTGGTATCGGCGACATACACACCTACTTGTCGGTAATCCGAGCCACCTGTCCGAGGCCGGATATCAGGGAGTTGGGCCTTCTCTCGAGGCATTGGTGAGTATCGTACTATATCTCCGATAATTGTTAATATCATAATTGATTATTTTCAGTCAACTATAGCCTAAAATATCTGATTTTTTTTCCAGGTGGTTCGAGCTGGGAGGTCATACCACTTGGCTGAGGACGCCATTTTCAGACGTGATGGACAGCTTGGTCTGCAGGCCCTTGTAGAGATCAGAGAGTTATTGTATGAGGGGATCCAGCATGCCCATCGGGTAGATCGTCTGCATTTTGGGGACTACGGTGTACACAGTGCAGCAGCTGCTCCAGACACATCAGTCCCGTCCACGTCAGTGCCTCCCAGTTCAGCGCCAGCCACAGCAGGTCCTTCGACTTCAGTCACCCCACCACATGATACCCCATACATTTCTCCATATTCCCCACACGTACATCTTACCCAGCATGCTGACCCTGACCCTGATTGGTCACCGCCCCGCTTCATGCATGATGTTATTACCCCACCCACCCAGTTACAGCCTACTTTTCTGGGGAGTACTTCGACCGCGCCCCGGTTCATGCATGATGTTGCTACCCCACCCACCCAGTTACCACCTGCTTTTGTGGGGACTACTTCGACCGCGCCCAGGAGTACACATGATGCAGTTCTCACTGACATCTCCCACATTGATGATGAGGCCCATATTGAGCCCCCCTCCAGAGCGCGAGGGAGAGGTTATGGTCGTGGGGGACGTCGCGGCCGAGGTCGGGGTGTGGGCAGAGGCAGAGGTCGGGGTCCAGCTGCAGATCGTGATATAGTTGCACCAGACGAGGGAGTGGGAGTTTCACAGCTCACAGCAGTATATGATCTACAGGCACAGGCAGGATCAGGGGCATCAGATGCAGGAGAGGGGGGGTCACACTCACACTCACAGGCGCCACAGGCAGTCAGTGGAGGGCCGCATGCAGGGGAGAGAGTGCCAGATATTCAGAGAGTCTACCGTAGGAGACCGAGGAGGGAGATCTACGGTCGGGGTTGTGGGACTGGGGGCAGGTTAGGGCATTAGCGGTTGCGATATGGACTATATAGGTTTTTTTTTTTCTTTTTTTTGTTTGTATGTGTCAAACTTGTACAGCTGATGTAAGTGTCATACTTATTTATTCACAATTATAATTTCATAATTTTTTATTCTTATTTATATTGATGAATCACACAAATCTGTTTCACATCTCTACCCCTCTCTCATTATCCGTAATTTAGGAGAACATAAATTACAAAGGCGTTTGGTTTTAACAAAACGTGTAAAGAAGCTATAAAAAATATGTTTGTTCAAGGCTAAAAATAATTGAAATATCTCGCTTCATTGATAAGTCATGGATAAGCATTACAAATTGCATGCATTACAGAAATGCCCTGGGCGTTCATCCAAACAATTTCATTCATTATCATCATCATCTGACATCTCAATATCAGATTCATACATAACATCCATGCTCCAGGCGTAGTACTGGTGTGCATCATCCATTAACCCATCTTCGGCACGCTCATTTGCGGTCTTCATTAGTCCGGACCTTTGCAAACGTTGGGTCATGCGATTAACCTCGTCGCGGATACGATGCAATACCCTTTGCAACAACTGTGGAGTGTCAGTTGGCATACGCATGGCTAACCGGCGAGGAAATTTAAGATTAACTTCACGGCATAGCTCAACGAGAACGTTTGCTCGAGTTTTGCGAAATTCCCACTCAGCTCTCATGGTATTGACGGTGGCACGTGAGTAACGCAAATTTGGATTTAATGGGTATTGAAATTCATCTCCATCTGCAACCCAATAGCGACCCATTGCTGAATATAGATCAACCACCGTATATGTCATGATTTATTGGTGCATCCCCCAATTTTTTTATTATATTTCTATCCTTCAATCAAATTACCAACACACCCCTTCTATCTCCTTTCCTCCCTCCCAACTCAACCCTAACATGTGCCATTGCCGACCACCTACAGTCACCTCCCTCCCTTCTGATCATCGCCCCCTTCATAGATATATGTATACTCTGCAAAATCTTTATATCATTTTAATTATCAATATCAAAATTTCAAACAGGTGCATAGTATAGCCATTAAACTTCCACAAAATATTCAAGGGAAAAATAAAAAATTATTAATTTGCTACAGAGGCTTCAATTATTAACTTCAATTTTCTTAATTAAAACTGTAAAACTATCGCTTTTAAACAATCATCCTAAAAATTGTGCAAAACAATCATAAAATTTACGGCAAAGAAGAGGGTGAGGCTCAGATCTGCTATGATATCAAGCTAATATGTTTGTTGAAGGCATAACAATAGTAATAGATATACAATTACTATTATTATTATTATTTTTAATTTTATTAACAATGTCTTTAAGAGGTGCAGGAAGTTCACGCCGGCAAAGAAATCCGAAAGTGTGGCTGCTACCTCCATTTATGTATGACTACAAGAGCGAAAAGTACTCAAGTTCGAAGGATTATTATGCTGGTATCCGAGCAGAATGGGCGTTCAGGGTAACGGAGCAAGAAGGATTTTTTAATGATCTACGTAACTTTGGGGCACCGGTACCTCATCGTCGTTCATTGACCATGGCTAGACGAAATGTGAGTGACTATGAAAAAGCAGTTAGCAGAATTAAGAAGGAGAACAACAGGATGTTGATGCGGAGATGTCGACATTTCATGCTTCAGCTAGCCACTGAAATGGCAGAAGCAAGCAACAGAGATTTGACAATGGTTGAGCGAAATAATGTCTTCAACAATGAAAAATATCTCTCTGACTACTACATGTCAGATGACGAATAAGAAATCAAACACCGTTATCTTTCATATGTTCGTTCCTGGAGTGTAAGACAACGTTGTTGTTGGTGTAACGTACGGATGTATTTCAAGTATTTTTGTTATGCACCTGAAGTTTATGAAATACCTACATTTATAAGTACACATTTATGAGTTCATGACTTTCTTTATTGAATTGCAATTTGTTCATGAATGTTCTGGATTAATTAATGGATTAATGTATGTTCAATTATGTGAATACTTAAAACACATAAAATAGATCAGGCAACTCGGAGAAAAGGTTCCCTTAACTGGGGCTGCTGAAATAGGGATGAAATTACAACGAATTTCAATCTCCATCGGGAAAGAAGAAAGAGTCACCTTCCAATTCTTGAAAGTCCAGTAAAAATTTTGACTCCGGTAATGAATGAGGGGTTGACAAAAAACTAAACTCGGTGAATCGAACTACCGCCTTCAACAACACATAAAACATAACAGGTAGGTCGGTGAATAGCTTCCCAAATGACAAGAACAATTCAAATAGTCATACTTTTCAATGAAATACAAATAGCAGGTCGTAAGCTTCATAAGCTTCATTTTTCACACATTGAGTAGTCAAATCGTGGAGAGACTTGTCAGTATATGCAGATAGATTGTGAAGTCATGTGACCTGGTGCACAGTCTTCGGTTTTATTGATTTGTTTATTACAGTCACAACTCATCTCTTATTTACATATGTGGGATTCTCAACTCAGAAAGTCACATGGCAACAGTGAATTCATTGATTTACCTTATTGTCAGCCTGCCTTTATTTTGTCTGTATATGCAGATGGATTGTGAAGTCATGTGACTTGGTGCACATGCTTTGGTTTTCTCGATTTTTTGCTCGATTTTTTTTATTACAGTGACAACTCATCTGTTATTGATATATGTGGGATTCTCAACTTAGAAAGTCACATGGCAACAGTGAATTCACTGATTTACCTTACAGTCAGCATGCCTTTATTTTGTCCTTATATGCAGATGGATTGTCAAGTTATGTGACTTGGTGCACAGCTTTGGTTTTCTCGATTTTTTGCTCGATTTTTGTATTACAATGACGACTCATCTGTTATTGATATATGTGGGATTCTCAACTCAGAAAGTCACATGGCAACAGTGAATTCACTGAATTACCTTACAGTCAGCATGCCCTTATTTTGTTCGTATATGCAGATGGATTGTGAAGTCATGTGACTTGGTGCACATGCTTTGATTTTCTCCATTTTTTTCTCAATTTTTTTGTTACAGTGACAACTCATCTCGTATTGATATATGTGGGATTCTCAATTCAGAAAGTCACATGGCAACAGTGAATCCATTGATTTACCTTACAGTCAGCATGCATTTACCTTACAGTCAGCATGCATATATGTGGGATTCTCATTTATCCGTTCATAATCAACTATATAAACGAGTAAAGGTAAAGACACAACCTTACAACTCATTTCGCCCTACGAAATTATCATTCATTTGTTTTAAAAAATTAGCATGGCTACATGGTTCATAGGAGAGAGTGGGAGTCGCAGAGGTGGTAGGAACTTGCAAAGGGGTGAAAGTTCACGACGAGGAGGGGGAAGGGGAAGTGGCGATGCTGAAGATGAAACACCATTTCCTTTATTGGATGCCTCTTGTGCTTATCATGATAGGTTTGGGAAGCGACATTTTGTCATGCCCAAGTACTATCGAGATCCATGTGGTTTGGTGGAGGATCCATCAGAAAATCAAACAGGATATGGTTATGCAAAGGCTAGACTTCTTAAGTGGCCCGCACTATTTATAGAGCGAGTGCAAAACGAAAGATTATGTCGGGAAAGACGACTGAAGGTGCCAAAAGCACGTTCTGTTGAGATCCAAAAGGAAGATCCTGATAATGTTGATCGACTATGTCAAACACTAGAACGTGAGATTTCTCAAATGGGTCGTAGATTGGCCCGCGATATGCAGCTACTCATACTTAAGAAGGATGCCCAGAAGAACAAAACAGAACCAAATGTTGCGGCTATCAAGGCTATCATGGAGGATCCTGAACTTGTCTCTGACGCTGAGCTTTCGGATTGTTCAGACTCTGAGCCACCTGCCGATTTAAGCGCGAATTAGGTGTTAATGTCTACACTTCGGCAATATAACAACTTCCATTAATATGTAATGTCTGTGTTAGAGTAAGTATAACTGTTATGTTATGTTATGTTTATGTTTAAGGTTGTGTTTATGTATTGTGTCTGTCAAATGTTACGGCTATTAATATGCAATATTAGGTCATGAATTAGGTGTTTGTCTATCTAACTGTTATGTTTATGTATTGTGTGTTCAGTTAAGAGTGTCCAGGATGTATGTAATGTGTGTTCAGTTCATGGTGTCCATAATGTATTTTTGTGGGAGAATTATGTCTGTACTACCTACGTAACTGAAAACTATTACATTTGCAACTTCAGTTATGTTGTTTTCATACCCGTATGAGTATTTTGTAAAGTACTGACTTCGTATATTATGTATTAAGTATTATTACAAAAATGTCGTCGAGTTGCACAATGTGTGGGTGTGCTTCGAACTGTACAGCATGCATATCACATTCTAACCCATAACAAAATAAATTTAAATGAAAACGGGTACAAAACGGTTTTACTAAACTGATTTTCTGAATTACATTCTCACCTTCTAACCCAAAACAAAAGAATAAATATATATGTATGTTTAAATAAAAACGGCTTTCGTAAAGCCAAAATAATTTTCTAAATAACACCTTCCAACCCAAAACAAAGACAAAAGAAAAAAAAAATTACATGAAAACGACTTTAGTAAAGCGGAAAAAAAAATTATTAATTACATTATCACCTTCTAACCCAAAACAAACACAAAACAATAAGCAAAAAAAAAATTTACATGAAAACAACTTTAGTGAAGACGAAAAAAATTTTTTAATTACATTTTCTAAATCAAAACAAAGACAAAAGAAAAAATGAAAAATGTAACATGACAACGGCTTCAGTAAAGCCAAATAAATGAACATGATTGGCTTAATAATATCTACATGAATATGATTTTGAAATTATATATATGAAAAATAGTATGTAAAATTAATATATGAAAAGAGGTTTTTTTTTCATATTATGTAAAATTTATGAATTACACATTCTAAACAAAAACAAAAACAAAAACAAAAGAAAAAAAAAACATATTTTAACATGATAATGGCTTTAGTAAAGCCAGGTACTAAAATATACAGTGTAAATATATTTTTTAAAATATTTTTTATGTTTTTTTCTTTTGTTTTATCTTGAAAATAGCGTTTTATTTCAACAAAGTTTATGTTAAAAATGCTGGGCGAAAAAAAAAAAATTCTGTTAAAATCGCTATTTGTAATAGCGTTTATTATGTTAAAATCGCTATTCTTAATAGCGTTTTTATGGCGAAAAAATTGTGTAAAATCGCTATTAGAAATAGCGTTTTCTGGCAAAACAGTTTTGTGTAAAAAGCGCTGTTCTTAACAGCGTTTTCCTTGGAAAAAAAATTAATCCTAGAAGCGCTATTCGGAACAGCGACTTCTTAATCAAAATCGCTATTTGTAATAGCGATTTTCCTGGTCATCTACTTTTGCGCTCCTAACAGTAAAAGCGCGAATAGTAATGGTGCTTTAGCTTAGTTTTGAAATTCCGTCAGAAGTTAGCCTAGCTTTAGAAATACAATGTAAAAAAAACTTATATTAGGAAAAGACCCGATGGAACGACAGTCAACTTAATTGCTTTTGGCGTCTGGGTTACTGCTAGATAGGGGTGTGCGCAACATGATAATGGCTTTAGTAAAGCCAAGTACTAAAATATACAGTATAAATATATTTTTTAAAATATGTTTTATGTTTTTTTCTTTTGTTTTATCTTGAAAATAGCGTTTTATTCCAACAAAATTTATGTTAAAAATGCTGGGCGAAAAAAAAAAAATTTCTGTTAAAATCGCTATTTGTAATAGCGTTTATTATGTTAAAATCGCTATTCTTAATAGCGTTTTTATGGCGAAAAAATTTTGTGTAAAATCGCTATTAGAAATAGCGTTTTCTGGCAAAACAGTTTTGTGTAAAAAGTGTTGTTCTTAACAGCGTTTTCCTTGGGAAAAAAATTAACCTTAGAAGCGCTATTCGGAACAGCGACTTCTTAATCAAAGTCGCTATTTGTAATAGCGATTTTCCTGTTCATCTACTTTTGCGCTCCTAACAGTAAAAGCGCGAATAGTAATGACGCTTTAGCTTAGTTTTGAAATTCTGTCAGAAGTTGGCCTAAATTTAAAAATACAATGTAAAAAAAGCTTATATTGAAAAAAGACCCGATGGAACGACAGTCAACTTAATTGCTTTTGGCGTCTGGGTTACTGCTAGAGTCCACTATTAACCTAGTGGTTTTGGTGTTTTTTTTTCTCCTTTTTAAATTCAATCAAAAGTAGGGGAATAATAAGGGAAGTTACATCACACACACAGTAGTGAATAATGAGACTTGAAAAACATTTTAGCAATTTGGTGAAAGATTTTGCTAAATCATTTTACTGTACTGTGTGTATTGTATTGTATTGTATTTAACCTCCTACTGTACTGTTTTTTCAGCCAGCAATTGACATCTTAATCTCATCAATATTATTGGAGAGCTTCTATTTGCACATTCCCATTCCTCTCTTTGTACACTTAATAAAAATTATTTTTATTATAATTTTATTTTCAAATGAAATTACTATTATGGACATCAAATAAATACATTCGAAAGTTGAATGTCGAAAAAATAATAAAAAATTCAAAATTCTACTTCTGAACTAATTATTTATTTTCAGAATGTTACTTCTGAACCAATTATTTATTAAAAAAGATTGTATATAGAATGTAATGGGTGTGTAAAAATAAAAGCTCCCCTATTGACCAGGAGTAAGTGCTGACATACAGCATTGTGCGCGCTCACATAACAGATGAGCACACGAGATGAATCGAGTAAATTTAATAACCCGTTTGGGAACCAATTTTTTGGCCCCAAAAAAAACATTAAAAAATTAAATAAGAGAAGCCAAATAGTTATAGACATCAATTAATCATTTTTCTCTCTTTCTCACAATTACTATTTATTTAACGAGTCCGTAATCTAAACATTAACAGTATTTAAAAATGGATGCAAAATGGGCCCCATAAAAACCTGATTGGAGGAGCCTAGAAGGAAAGGGAATCTGGGAACACAACAAACTAACAATACAGCAACTGCTCATTTAAAATGCAGAGATAATTAGATGCCAACAACATGGCCCGATTTATCACGGAGCCTGAAATGAAATGATATGATGAGGCTACGTTGACAAACTAAACTAAAACTATTACATGAACCAAATCACAGCCCCATAAAAATAATAATAATAATAACGATAAAATAAACCTAGTATACGTCCCAGATTGAATGGATTACTTATCCTGTACCAGGAAAAGTAGAATACTAAAACATATGACAACAAAACCGCCCAACTTATTATGGACAATTAGGAATTGATAAATTTGTTGTGTTTACAATAAGGGGTACAGATTTCTGTTGTTTTTAACTCATTTACACAAAGTTGATTAAGACAGTTCAATGCAAATTCCAGTTTGTAGCACCATAATAGTCTTGATTCATGGCAGCGGTTCTTGCGAATCTCCCAAGCGAGACAAATGAAGGTATGCGTCTGTCCCTGTGAGAACAAAGCACGTGCATACATGTCAGTAAACATTGTGGCAGAATCCAAGTGTAAAAAAAAAATCAGAACCATGGAAAAGTTGAAATCATAAACATTTAGTAAAAGAATAAAGAGCCTAGTGCTGCATACGCAAACATGTGAGCATTCCTACATTAACCTCCTTCATCACCCTGACTTTATATGTTTGATCCTTACCCAAGATTCCTAAATTTTCCATGACAAAATGGCAGGTAGATTCAATGTCGTTCGGAAGGCCCACCTCATTCTCAGGTGCATGTATTTCAAGCATAGTTCCAGGAAGAGTAGACTATTGAAATGAGCAGAAGATAGAAAAGATAGTTCTAATTTCTAAACAAAACTATATTTATCAGTTTTAGAAGAAAATTTTGATTCATGTACATCCCCCAAGCTCATTTTTGACCATCTTTCCGCAACCAACTAGGCAAAAAGAACAGAGAACACATTTGATTGAAACAAAGACAAGATATACCAAGCAGTTTGTGGGTGACCTTTTAGATGCAAATAACAGTTACAGGACAATGAAGTCATGGAGGGCACATTATCATGCTGATTTTCATGCATTAAGGGATTCTTCAATTACAGCACAACACAAAACAATAATTAACTTACCATATCCTTCCATAGAGATAATTTGCAGGTCCCCTCCAAAATATCTGGCATATAAGCGACTTATTGGAAGCCCATATCCATAACCAGCCATTGTTGCTATGTTAGTTGTTCCAAGATCTGACTGCTCATCCAGGGGGTTTTTGGCAGTACTATAAAGATAGGTAAATATTTTAGGGAGACCACTTCTTGGTATTCCACCCCCTTCATCTGACACCTACCATCCAAACATACCACATTTGTTGAGTAATAGTGGGTGTTATGTTAAATTTGTAAAATATAAATTTTGACTTTGACTTAAAAGTATAAATGTTGTGTGCCACTCTAGTGGTAAAAATGGTCTTTCTTAGAATGAAGGTCTTGGGTTTGAGCCCCATCCTCTTTATACAATTTTAAATAAACACCCAACTCCAGAGGTATTTTGGGAAAACCTAAAACATGAGACATTTTGGGTGCGTTTGGTTTGGTTTTGATAGATAAATTTTCAAAAAAAATCTTAGGAAAAGAGTTTTAGAAATTTTTTTGATTTGTTTGTTTGTATATTTTGGAAATAGTTTTGGAGTATAAAAGTTTGGAATGATTTGATATTTTGTTGTAGTTGAGTAGATGTGTGTGAGAGAAAGAGTGAGTGAAAATGAGAGAGGAGAGAGAAAAAATGATTGATTGATGTGTAGGAGAGAGAGAGCGATTTTGAAAAAAATTTCAAAAAATTTCTAACCAAACAAAATTTTGGAAATTTTTTTCAAAAATTATATTTTGAGAGTTAAACCAAACAAGGCCTTTGTGTCAACATCATCTCAAGGCTTCACATATATAGTAGTATATAGATAGATAGATAGATAGAAGATAAATTGCGAAAAAACGACAACAAAACACATGCCTTAATGGTAACATCCTCTATTCCATCAGCTACTATTATTCGAATAGGAGGTGCGGCTTTGTCCGAGTCCATAAACCGCTCCTGGACAGCACGTAAGGAGTTCTTAACCAACTCAAAAACCATCAGATGTAAATGTGTTGGAACATACCTGTTAAGGAAGCAAACAAAGTTGTTAACATGGAACATGAAACAAAACAGAGAACAAATTCTACTTGGAATTCATTACTCGGACACACGTGGACGCGGGCACGGGTGCGCGCGCGCACACACACACACATATATATGTATATGAAGAGTCCAACACACCATTTTTGTTTGTTGTTTGAAAAGTGAAGAAGAAGAAGAAGAAGAAGAAGAAAAAGAAGAAAATGGCAAAACAAATAAAGGATTAATTAGAAGGACAATAGCTTACGGGAATGTAAATTTAGGATCCCCATAGATATTAACATCAGGTGCACTTCCATACTCCCGCAAACAAATTGCACGGGCATCCTCACTGGCAGTTTGTGCTACCTGTACAGGGGACATTTTGGTATGTATATAACCCACACAATCAGGAGGAGGGTTGGGATCATGCAATGCAACGTGCTGCCCTGAGTTTCATGCAAATTAGAGGTACATAAAACATGTTTAGTATCCATCTTTAGTAACACTAACAAAATTGATTACCACGGACGGATAAACATAAGGCTTAAATAAAAAGGTCAATTAGGAAATAAATCTCAAGTACAATAAGTGGAAGTAAGCAAGATGGGCTAACCAATAAGCATTCGAATCCCAATTCTTGACATGTAAAAGCGATCGAGGAACTGATGAATCTCGTCCAGATCCTGATAATCAATCTTCCGACCCAGGCTTTTCTTCAACTGTTGAACGCCCAAAGCCATCATGGGAACAACATTATTGTGCCTCACCTTAATCATCTTAATCATTTGGGTAAATTCCAATTCATCATTTGTGTTGTTGATCTCGGGAAAGGATCTAAGGTCACGGAAAGAATCCAGATACCAATCACGCACCTAAAGACAGGAAGTTCATATAATTAACGGGTACTGAGCTCAAATAATGAAATGCCGTGCTGATGAATCTACTAGTATTTACTTATGTATTTTTATTTTATAGTAAGCAAAACACAATGCAGTCTTAGGGAAGGGAGTTATGTGTATCGATTAAATAACACTTTAAAACCTAATTAAGAGAAAGCTCACCACCACCACCCCCCCCAAAAAAAAAAACATAAACATAAGACCGATGGTGAGAATATTCAAAGCAGAAGTCAAGAAAGATACAATACCCAAATTGAGATATGCACACAGCAAGATCTTTTCTCTCATATATTGTATATTATAAACATAAACATAAGACCGATGGTGAGAATATTCAAAGCAGAAGTCAAGAAAGATACAATACCCAAATTGAGATATGCACACAGCAAGATCTTTTCTCTCATATATTGTATATTATAAACATAAACATAAGACCGATGGTGAGAATATTCAAAGCAGAAGTCAAGAAAGATACAATACCCAAATTGAGATATGCACACAGCAAGATCTTTTCTCTCATATATTGTATATTATAAACATAAACATAAGACCGATGGTGAGAATATTCAAAGCAGAAGTCAAGAAAGATACAATACCCAAATTGAGATATGCACACAGCAAGATCTTTTCTCTCATATATTGTATATTATAAACATAAACATAAGACCGATGGTGAGAATATTCAAAGCAGAAGTCAAGAAAGATACAATACCCAAATTGAGATATGCACACAGCAAGATCTTTTCTCTCATATATTGTATATTATAAACATAAACATAAGACCGATGGTGAGAATATTCAAAGCAGAAGTCAAGAAAGATACAATACCCAAATTGAGATATGCACACAGCAAGATCTTTTCTCTCATATATTGTATATTATAAACATAAACATAAGACCGATGGTGAGAATATTCAAAGCAGAAGTCAAGAAAGATACAATACCCAAATTGAGATATGCACACAGCAAGATCTTTTCTCTCATATATTGTATATTATAAACATAAACATAAGACCGATGGTGAGAATATTCAAAGCAGAAGTCAAGAAAGATACAATACCCAAATTGAGATATGCACACAGCAAGATCTTTTCTCTCATATATTGTATATTATAAACATAAACATAAGACCGATGGTGAGAATATTCAAAGCAGAAGTCAAGAAAGATACAATACCCAAATTGAGATATGCACACAGCAAGATCTTTTCTCTCATATATTGTATATTATAAACATAAACATAAGACCGATGGTGAGAATATTCAAAGCAGAAGTCAAGAAAGATACAATACCCAAATTGAGATATGCACACAGCAAGATCTTTTCTCTCATATATTGTATATTATAAACATAAACATAAGACCGATGGTGAGAATATTCAAAGCAGAAGTCAAGAAAGATACAATACCCAAATTGAGATATGCACACAGCAAGATCTTTTCTCTCATATATTGTATATTATAAACATAAACATAAGACCGATGGTGAGAATATTCAAAGCAGAAGTCAAGAAAGATACAATACCCAAATTGAGATATGCACACAGCAAGATCTTTTCTCTCATATATTGTATATTATAAACATAAACATAAGACCGATGGTGAGAATATTCAAAGCAGAAGTCAAGAAAGATACAATACCCAAATTGAGATATGCACACAGCAAGATCTTTTCTCTCATATATTGTATATTATAAACATAAACATAAGACCGATGGTGAGAATATTCAAAGCAGAAGTCAAGAAAGATACAATACCCAAATTGAGATATGCACACAGCAAGATCTTTTCTCTCATATATTGTATATTATAAACATAAACATAAGACCGATGGTGAGAATATTCAAAGCAGAAGTCAAGAAAGATACAATACCCAAATTGAGATATGCACACAGCAAGATCTTTTCTCTCATATATTGTATATTATAAACATAAACATAAGACCGATGGTGAGAATATTCAAAGCAGAAGTCAAGAAAGATACAATACCCAAATTGAGATATGCACACAGCAAGATCTTTTCTCTCATATATTGTATATTATAAACATAAACATAAGACCGATGGTGAGAATATTCAAAGCAGAAGTCAAGAAAGATACAATACCCAAATTGAGATATGCACACAGCAAGATCTTTTCTCTCATATATTGTATATTATAAACATAAACATAAGACCGATGGTGAGAATATTCAAAGCAGAAGTCAAGAAAGATACAATACCCAAATTGAGATATGCACACAGCAAGATCTTTTCTCTCATATATTGTATATTATAAACATAAACATAAGACCGATGGTGAGAATATTCAAAGCAGAAGTCAAGAAAGATACAATACCCAAATTGAGATATGCACACAGCAAGATCTTTTCTCTCATATATTGTATATTATAAACATAAACATAAGACCGATGGTGAGAATATTCAAAGCAGAAGTCAAGAAAGATACAATACCCAAATTGAGATATGCACACAGCAAGATCTTTTCTCTCATATATTGTATATTATAAACATAAACATAAGACCGATGGTGAGAATATTCAAAGCAGAAGTCAAGAAAGATACAATACCCAAATTGAGATATGCACACAGCAAGATCTTTTCTCTCATATATTGTATATTATAAACATAAACATAAGACCGATGGTGAGAATATTCAAAGCAGAAGTCAAGAAAGATACAATACCCAAATTGAGATATGCACACAGCAAGATCTTTTCTCTCATATATTGTATATTATAAACATAAACATAAGACCGATGGTGAGAATATTCAAAGCAGAAGTCAAGAAAGATACAATACCCAAATTGAGATATGCACACAGCAAGATCTTTTCTCTCATATATTGTATATTATAAACATAAACATAAGACCGATGGTGAGAATATTCAAAGCAGAAGTCAAGAAAGATACAATACCCAAATTGAGATATGCACACAGCAAGATCTTTTCTCTCATATATTGTATATTATAAACATAAACATAAGACCGATGGTGAGAATATTCAAAGCAGAAGTCAAGAAAGATACAATACCCAAATTGAGATATGCACACAGCAAGATCTTTTCTCTCATATATTGTATATTATAAACATAAATGTGAATGTTAACATGTCAATGTGAATATTCACATTGTTAATGTGCCGAGCCGGGCCGAGTCGGGCTCGCCCTGGGCTGCTGTCTAGTTTTATACTCTTATTAATGTGAATGTTAACATGTCAATGTGAACATTCACATTGTCAACAAGCCGGGTCGGGCCCGCGCCACCGGCCGTGGGCGGGTTTCGCGGGCAGTTACGAGGCGCGGGCTAATTTTATACTCCTATTAATGTGAATGTTAACATGTCAATATGAATATTCACATTGTCAATGGGTCGGGCCGGGCCCGCCCCGGCTGCGGGCGAGCTTTTGGCCGCCCATGGGCCGCGGCCCAATTTTATACTCTTATCAATTTGAATGTTAACATGTCAATGTGAATATTCACATTGTCAACGGGCCAAACCGGGCCCGCCCCGAGCCGCCCATGAGCCGCGGGCGGGTTTCGCGTCGCCACGGGACGGGGGCCAATTTTACACTCCTATTAATGTGAATTTTAACATGTCAATGTGAATATTTACATTGTCAACGAGTCGGGCCCACCCTGGCTCGCGGGCGGGTTTCGAGCCGTCCACGGGCCAATTTACATTCCTATAAATGTGAATTTTAAAATATAAATGTTCACATCATTAAATTGCTAATCGTTGAAAAAATATTTATAAGGGTATCAAAATTAAATATAAAAGCATAAGTGTCTAAGAAAATAGTATAAATCAAGAAAATGGACTTTATGGAATAAAACTGATTAAATGGGTTAAAAAATTTCTTCATAGACTTATTGAATTAAAACACTTCTAAATTAGACTTATCAATAAAAATTTCATTAAAAAATTATTAAAATAACTTATTTTCAATCTAATCCTTGGCAGCGGAGTAACCAGAGACGGGCAGAGGTGTCTGGGTCCCTAGTAAAACGTCATGTGTCAGAGAGAGCCCCCACAGACTGTGGGAACTTTTCCAAACTAGTCCCAACACTATTCTATTTTTCAAATTAAAATTTAGTTTGGCCAAATTTTTCAAAGTAGAAAGTTACTTGAGATGATTTAAAAATAAATATATTTTTTATTTTTTTATAAAAAAATATATAAAAAATAAAGAGATAATATAATGAAAAAAAGATAAAAAGATAAATTATTTAAGAAATGCCAAACCACCCCTAAGTTAAAACGTATTTAGTGCTCGTTTGGCAATGATTTTTTTAATTGACTTTTTGATTTTTTTAATTTTTTTACGCTGAGGTTTTTTGAGTTGTTTGGTATTTTTTTTTGGCTTTTTTGATTTTTTAGCTTTGGAATTGTGTATTTTTTTTGTCTTTTTATGATTTTTGTCCTTTTGTGATTTTTTGACTTTTTTTTGCCCTTTTGTTATTTTTTAGCCCAATACAAATACCAAACAATCCCTTATTAAATACGCTTTCAGCATTTTTGTGGTTTAGACGGACAAAATAAATAAAATTATGAAAGCATGTTTAAAAAACGGGCTTTCAATTAAGGTCGCGCGGTTATAAATCACGCGTTTACTAATTATCACGTCAATTAATAAAACGCAATTGAAAAACGTACAATACGCTATCAATAAATAAAAATAATAATTAATTTTACACCCACATTACACACACTCACACTCTCACACACAGACTCTCTCTCTCTCTAGTACATCGCACACACTTATAATAAATAAATAAAAATAAAAATAATTAATTTTATTCATTATATTTATTTTAATAAAACATATATAATTTTTAATATATATAAATTTTATTTTCTAAAATTGAGACCAATATTAAATGTATATATAATAATAATAATTTATAATAATCAACTATATAAAATGATCACTTTCTTACTTTAATTCTTAAATTTTTTTTTTTATTTTAAGGTTTAGGATTTAGGGTTTAATTCTTAATTTTTTTTATTCTAGGGTTTAGGGATAAATTTTTTTAATTTTATTTTAGGGTTTAGGGTTTAA